CCTCCCGCCCATGAAGCTCCAGCAGGTCCCAGCCCTCCGACAGCCTCAGCTCTGTAACCAACCACAGCACACAGGAGGGGGCGTCTCCGCGCTCATCCCATTTCACTCCCAATGGGTCAGGCCACCACTGCGTTTCAGCAAAACATTCTATTTTATTTTTATCTCAGCAAAGGTCCTCATGTGGCACCTGACTGGTACCAAACCAAAGACCTCGGGCCAACGGATGTGAGCTGAGACCACCTGCAGGCTTCCCGCTGGCAGGTCTCACCGCCTCTGAGCCTCAGAGCACCGCTTCCCCTCGCAGGTGCGCTAACAGTGCTGGCCACCAGGTGGCGGGAAAGTGGTGACACTGCAACCCGCTGGGACAGGAAGCCAAGCGGAGCCTTGACAGCAAAGTTCTTTTCTCAGGTGACAGACCTCCAGACCGGGTCCCGATCATGCTTGTTCGACACCTTCCTGGGTGCCTGGGCCGGAATGAAGACAGGGCCATCCTTTGCCCAGTGGCCAGGGGAGGAGATATAAGCTGCTTTACACTCAGAGCTCAAACGTCGAAGGAAGTCTTGTCTGGGTGAACGGGACAGTGAGCTCTGAGGTCAGTGATGCTGGCCGGCCTTGCAGCCTTGGCACACAGGGTACTTTCCCGGGATCCAGGACAACACTGAGCCCACGAGGACATTTTGCTTACATGCGGTTTCCAGCTGCCAGAGGAGTGCAGGCCTCTCACGCTTGGGTCCTTCTCAAGGTCTCCATTCAGATGCGCTATTCAACGCGTGAAATAACAGGAAATAGATTTGAAGGACCACGGCTGCTCTTTTCCTCCCTGCTGAGCAGTTTCAGACATGACTGGCATAGAGAAAACTGAGCACTCAGCGGGGTACAAGCTGGAGGTGCTTTCACACCCAGACTTCTCCTCCGGGTGCGGCAGGAGACCGGGTCCCCACCCTTCCGGGGTGGCCCTCAGCTTTGGGCCCAGCCTTCTAGCTGCGGAGAGCTCCCTTCCCCGCCCCCCTGCGAGGCTAGTTGACCCGGCAGGCGCGGATCATGAGCAGCTGCAGGAGAATGAAGACGGGAGACGTGATCAGGCCGAACCAGAGCTCCCGAGTCTGCTCCACCAGCTTCTGGCACAGCAGCATCTCGAACACGAACTTGAGGCTGAGAACCGTGAGGATCCAGAAGAGGCGGAGCACGGCCAGCCGCTTCTCCCCGTCCTGGAAGAGACGCACCGACACGATGGTGGTGAAGTAGGTGCTGAGCCCGTCGGCGGCGAAGAAGGGCACGAACACGTTCCACCAGGAGAGGCCGGGGGCCAGGCCGTCCACACGCAGCGCCAGCAGCACGGAGAAGGCCAGCAGGGCCAGCAGGTGCACGAAGATCTCGAAGGTGGCGAAGCCCAGCCACTGCACCAGCTCCCGGAGCGAGAAGAGCA